CAGAGAGCGTTGAGTGGACACCTCTGGCTGGGTCACCCCATCCCCCCTGCTTTGCAATACCAAAGGCCCCACGTCACACACCAAGGTGACATACAAAAACTAACCTGTCACTAATCTCCACCTTACCTCCCAGAGGTCCAACTGCTTCATCGTCCTATCTGCCAGCTCCACCACCCACCTGACACTAGCTGGCTACCCACCTGGGACCAGGGACTAACAAGAAGGGGGCAGCCTGGGAGGTCGTTTCCCTCTCTGGTGCTTTGCAGTCCTGCCTACGAAAGCCCCCAGAGCCCAACCTTCACTTTGGCTACACAAAAGGGTGAGAAGTCTGAGGAAAATCAGCACCACACCACAGTGTTGCCAGCACTTACGCTGACTTCATAGGCTGGCTGGCTAAAAACCCTCTTTGGTGAAGGAGCTACAGTGAGCAGGGGCTCAGACGGCCACCCCTCCCTCCTCAGGGGTTCCTCCCATACCTGCTCTGATGGCCTTTTGCTGGAGGATGTCAAGCAGCTCCTGTGTCCGTCGGGAGTCCCCGAGCAGGGCGAAGGTGTAGGCCAGCAGGGCCTGGGTGTAGGTGCTGGTGGCTGTCGGGAGGGCAGCAGCAAGGCAGCCCAGCGCCCTGCGCACCACGGGGTGCTGCAGAGGAGAGTCACAGGGCAGCAAACCCGAGACACAGGCAGGAATCGGCACAGCCAACACCCCACGCCTCCACCCAGGTGTCTCTGCTGGAGCCTGCCCTCTCCTCCTGCTCCCAGTGCAGCACCAGTGAGCAGTTGCCAGCCCTTGGTGTAAGGTGCTTGGCAGACAGACCCTTCCCCCCGACCTCGAGCTGGTCACGGGCTTCAGCAGCCTTCTCTCAGCTCTTCCTTTCAAAGCCCAAACACAAGAGCAAGAATACGCAGCTGCAAATGCCTCCACCCAGCCTGCTGAGCAGGATGACTGCTAAATTCACCCCTGCCATGCCTCACAGGGTCACTGGGATTTGCAGGTTCCCCTGGAACACCACTGCTGCTGTTGGTAGGAGGCAGCAAAGCCACTGCTCTGGGCAGCATTGTGCTGCAGCACTCAGCTGTGCCATTCCAAACACACCCCAACGGCTCCCAGTGCTCGCCTGTCCCACGTCTGTGCACCTACAGCACCCCATGGCTTCCCCCTTCCCCTGGCCTCTGGGCTAAGGACCTAGGAAAAGGCCCATTGCTCTCAGCTGCAATGGAAAGCATTGATCTTTCACTTACTTTCCTGATCTCCAGAGAACTTTGCTTCTCAGAGTCAATAGCAATTGCATTTCTCCATCAGGGTCATTGATTAGATTTTTTCACTTGCCAGTACCACACAATCTAGTTATGAGTTATGATCTTAGCACTTATAAGAGTTCCCTCATCCTGTTATTGCTTAGATGTCCAACTCCCACTGCCCTACAACACTCCTTTCCCTGACTTCTACCTTTTGTGAAGCTAAACCACATGACAAATGTCATTACATCTGTTTACTTCACTGTTGGAGCAGCTACACCCCCCTCTCCTCCTGAACAGCTCACCACTAGCTCTCAGCTGGGTAGGGGTAGCAAGGAGAGGGGAGGATGGTGGGCAGAGAGCAGGAGTGAGCAGCCAAAGCTGCTGGATGGGCACAGCGTGTAGCCATCAACTCCAGGGGATCCCAGCAGTCCAGCCTCACCTTCCCCACTGCCAGCAACAACCTCCCCAGGAGGCAGCTGGGGCTTTTCCCTGATAGGTTCTTCCCCCCACACTGTGTTACTGTGTCCAGAAGCTTCTCCAAGGTGCTCTTGTTCCCCACCTCAGTGACACCACTGAGCTCTCCAGGACTCCCACCTTAAGGCAAGAGCATGGCAAAGAATCCAAATATTTACCTCTGGTGTCTCTCCTGCCTCCAGGTATGCAGCAGTGATGTAGGCAGCCAAGGGCACTTCCCCATCCAGACCTCCCTACAAAAAACACCCAAAAAGCTGGGAAAGTTAATTCACAAAGACCTAAAGTTTTCCAGCAAAGGCCCCACCTCTCTTTGCCTTGCTCCCTGTTGTGGTTTGAGGTTTGGAATGGGGGCGTGACCTTCCAGCAACTGGGAGGACCCCGGGTGGGGGTGAACCATTGTATTCCCTCCCCTTCCCACACACACTCTGATAAGAGGCAGGGAGTGGGTTCTAATTTCACTCCTGCCTTGGAGCTCGGAGAGGGAAGTTGTCCTTTCACTCCGTGGGACCCTGGAACCATTTCTGAGGGTTTTGTATATTTTATCTTTTGTATTATTCCCCTAATCTTTATATATATTATTTTCCTTACCTCCCTTTTTCGTTTTCTGTTCCTTGTTGAACAATAGACTTCATTTTTTTTCCCCAAAGTCTCTCTCTCTCTCTCTCTTGGGGGGGGAGTTCTGTTCCGTGTGGGTCCTGCCCTTAACCCCTTTTTACACGGAACCAGGACACTCCCACACAAGAAATCAGAGCAAGACAAGAAAGTGAACTAAGCAGTTCTCAGTACACTTGGCAAGAACTGCTTTGAATTGTCCTTCAGGGTGCTCTGGCTCTTACCTTCATGGCTGTGTGGAAAAGCTGGCCCACGTTTCTGAAGCAACCACTGGGAAGCTGGTGGAACTCCAGCCAGGTGAGAGCAGCTTGGATGATCCTGTTGTCCATGAAAATGTACGGCTTGGCTTGGACAAAACACTTCACCACGAAAGCAGTCAGCCTAGTTGGGGAGAGAACAGAAAAACAGGCATGAGAGTGGTAAAAGAGAAGCAGAAAGAGATGAAGTGAATGGCAGAGAGGGAAGAATGAGTGGAAAGAACAAATCTAAGCAGAAGTTGAGGAGAAAGGAAAAAAAAAAGTGGGAGTTTGGAGCTGGTTGGTCTTCTTCACCTGTTGTGCTATTCCCAATTTGCTGCTCCAGGGACAGTTCATGCTAAGGACAGCTGCAGACCCCGGGGGTACCATAACCCACAGAGCATCTGGAATGCTTTGGGTCCAGTAGCACACAAGGATTCATTGCTGAAATCAGAAAGCTGCTGCCCTCCAGGCTGCCAGGGAGCAGCAGGCAGCGAGCCCAGGGCTTACCAGGTGTTGCCATATCCATCCTTGGTACCAAATTCGCTGTAGGAGCCGTCAGGGTGCTGGTACTGCAGCTGTATCTGGTACCCTGGGGGCAGGACAGGGCATCAGTGCCCGGGGTGGCACTTGCAGTGAAATCACCGTGCAGGGAATGGGTGCCCGGGCTGGGAGGGGAGTGGGCATGTGGGACTCTTAGCAGGCTGGGCACGGGGGAGGGCAGAGCAGCAGGGGGGTCTCTGGCACTTGCCATTCCTCAGGAATCCTGTCGCCCTCTCCTTGATCTCGGGGCTCAGCTGCCTCGTCTGCTCCAGGTACTGCAGCACGTAGACGATGGGGGCAAACAGCACCATGTTCTGCTCCCCACAGCCGTGGGGCAGCTGCACCAGGCGGTCCAGGTTCTGCAGGGCTGTCCCCAGCAGGTCACCTGGAACAAAGCACGGGCACCCTGAGCCCCTCCTGGCAGGAGCCTCGGGCATCCACCTCCTCCTGCCTCCGACCTGTGCCCAGCAGTGTGCCAGGCAAAGCAGCCCCCACGCAGCACTGTGTGGGCACCTCTGCCCAGCCAGCCCAGCAGTCCCAGTGTGCCCTCCACAGGGGCTGTGCACACTCCCACCCTGCCAGGGAAGCCCATAAACAGAATGCTCTCTGCCCTGTTGAGTGTTTCAGGTTATCAGGAATCAGGAAAAGCAGGCACAGGCACGGGAAGAGCACAGCAGTAGAGCCTTGGGAACCTCAGAAAGGGTGGGGGTGGTTCTGGGTTTGGGGTTTTGTGGGGCTGAACTCAGAGATATGGGATTTGGAAAGGTACCATCACAGCTGAGTGCCTTACCAGTGACTGAGACAGTGGCTCTGACTGAACCTTCAACCACGTTTTGAGGCAACATCAAGGACACAGACTCCTGTGCTGGATTCCCTGACACCGCAGGGGTGTGAAAGACAAAAAGATGTTCTGAAGAAAACAGCTTTCAAAACCCCCAGAAACTGTTCAAGACTGTTCTGGGCTAACATCCCCTTTTCCTGTCACAGAGACTGCAGATCACCTCCAACCCCTTTCCCATTCCACCCTCAACTTCTTCCATCCATCTCCCAGTGACTGCACTGTCGTGACAGATATTTTATCCCTTCTAAAGAGGCTGAGAGGATTTCCTCCTGGAAATTCTGTGTCTTCAAAGCCACCTGCTTTTCTCCACTGAAGTTACTTCACCTCATTTCAGATTTCAGCTGCAGGCATATCTTCTCAACGTAAAAATTCTCTAAAAACCTGCTAATGGCCCATCATACCCCATAAAATTCAAGACAGGAACAGCAATCTTAAGTCATGTCGTTCAGCCTCACTATATTCAGTGGTGTGGTTTTATTACCCCAGGAAGAAAAGGTTTCAAGCTGTCAAATCACTGCCAGGGCTGCTGATGCTAAGGGGAAGCTCTGGAGGGCACTGACAATGCTCCTGTAGCTTGGTCGTGTTGACAGAGAAAATGTTTCAACAAGTGGAAAGCCCCAGGACGTGGTCAGGCAGGGAGGAGGGGGATGATTAAGGGGAAGGAGAACAGTCTCTCTACCTTTCTTGGGACACAGGATGGAGCTGTGAGCCTTTTCTATCTCCACTCCCTCCGGCTGTTGGAGCACAGGAAAGCAGCATTATAATGAGCACACAGGAAAGAAACAGGATTGCAAGTGGATTAGGAATAGATATGGACAAAACCCTGGTCCAGGCTGGAGAGTCAGCTGGAGTAACATCCCTAGCACATAAAAATGTGAATTATTGTCAGTCACTTTCCAACCCAAAGCGTTCTGTGGTTCTGTGATTTTCATTTCAGATGAGCAAACAGCATTCATTTTCAGAGCACCCTCACTGCTGCATGTCTGTGAAGCAGATGCTGTAAGGTTCAGCA